AGGAGGATGCTGTGAGTTCCAGACCAGCCTGAGATACATAGTGAATCCCAGATCAGTCTCAACTACATAGTGAAGACCCTATCTCAACCCCCCCCAAAAAAAGTTTGAGGTAAAATTCACATATTATAAAATTAACCTTTTGAAATAATACTGAACAATTCAGTGGCATTTAGTACATAATCATGACCACATTCATCATAAAGAATTTGTACCTGTACATAATATATTTTTACTCTTTTTTCCCCCTTGTAGGGAGTTGCTAGCAGATGTGTCAAAGCCCAGGCATCCGAGGGCACATGAGGGCACCTGAGGACACAACTCTGTCGTTTAGCACTGGTGCACGATAGACTTTGTTGTAATAATAATGAATTGGCATGGAGGTCATGCACATACCACGTGGCTATGCAAGGTTGCACAGCTGTTTTGTCTTACTGTGTCTCAGAAAATCGAATAAACAACTACTATAAGTTCTATGCTGAAAGTTAGTTTGGTTCCTGCTTTGTAAGTCTGCTCCACACATGTTCTCTTCTTTGGGACCCTCACCTGACTGGGCCTCCCTTCAGACCACCAGTCCCGACACCCTGCTGCTCTCTTCAACTCCTCTGCACCTTCTGATTTACAAAAGCATTGTTTCCATTTTTTCCCTCCACTCTTTTTCTTCCTTTCCCATTTCTTCTTTGGTCCCTCCCTCTCCCTAAATTCTCTTTTTGAAATACCTAGAATTGTTTCTGTTTTCCTGAGTGGACTTCTTTATATCATGCTACCCTAAGAACTTTAAATGTATATGTGTCATGGGAAGCCACCAGATGATTAGGCAGACAATAACATGACTAAAAGATCTAAAAGTGGAAGTGAAGCCGGACATGGTGGTGCACGCCTGTAATCCCAGCACTAAGGAGGCTGAGGCAGGAGGATGCTGTGAGTTCCAGACCAACCTGGGCTACATAGTGAGTTCCAGGTCAGTCTCAACTACCTAGTGAGACCCTGTCTCAAAAAACAAACAAAAAAAAAAACGTGGAAGAGAGGGGGCCAGGTGACCCTCTGATGTCTAGACAGTTGTCATAAATAGTGATGTGAAGGACCCAGTTTCAAGAAAGTCATTAAACAAAGAAGAGAGTCATTCAAGCTCCAACTTTCACACTGTGGTTGTTATTACTGAAGTCCTGCCTGCAGACTAACTGGATGGCAAGACCACATCAGGGATCCATGCAGGTGGGTTTTCTGCTGGACCCTTCTAGCTGGGCTTCTAGTGGCTGCAGGGGATAGAAGCTAACAGCTAGGTTAATGGAGATACTCAGGAGTTTTATTCAAAACGCCAGTCACAGACATAATTCACAAATGACCTTGATGAAAATGATGGCCTGAGCCTTTCTGAAGGAAGGACCAGAGGAAATGACAAAGCTGAGATCAGGAGCTGCTTACATCTCAGCCTGACAGCTACACCCCATTTCACCTGCTTCCTGCTCCCAGCTCTGGTCTGAATTGTTAGGTCACGTCTGGGACGATCCTTATTACTGGGTTCTTCCTGCTCCTTTTCTTCCCAGTCCTGAGACTCCGTATCACCATTCTTTGAAGTATCTAGGATCTTCTTCAAGACCCCACGGTCTCAGTGGTTCTGGGCACGAGCTCTGGTTCTTCTCTGGGAAAGTCCCTAAGGACTAGGGTTCCCTGGCTCCAACTGAGGTCTAGCAAATCCATCCCCAAGACCCCTCCCATGATGACTTAGAAACCAAATCCCATCACTGACACCCTACCTCACCCCTCTACATGACCACACAGGCCCAGAGAAGACAGGTACAGGGGCAGAGAATCCAGAAAGCCAGAGCTAATACCCCTAATGAGGAGTGGGGTATGTATAGCAGGGGAGAACAGGATCAGGAGAGGAGTCAGAGGAGCCGAGAGTATAGCCAGACTCCTATGCTCAGAGCCGTGCATGTGTCGGGTAGCTTGGGTATACTTGCAGCATGAGCCCACTCTGGCCCTCTCTTGACCATACATCCAGCTGTATTAATGTTTTAAGAAGCATGACTCTGATACTGAGGATTTCATTGAAGTTCCCTTACCCTGCACAGCACAGAAATCCCTCTGTCCCAGAGCAGGAATTTCAAGAGCCAGAAGATTCTAATTCACAGAGCTAGTTCAGGTTAAAGAGGACAATTCTCACCCTCCATTTTTGGGAAAAAGGCCTCCTGAAAGTTGATGATGGGTGAGGGCATCCGACCCTGCTCTTAATCCAACCTCATTCCTGCGAAGGGGGAAGAAAGTGTTCTTATGAAAGCTGCATGGACCCAGTACGGAAAATAAGTGATGAAGGAGGAATAGCAGCATTATCAAATTTTCCACCTCTTTCAGATGCTTGTCCCCGAAGCCCAGCCTGTAATAACAACGTGACCCCCAATTTCTCCGTACCGTACTCCTTTTCTTTCTGATTTGGTCTCCCGGGTTCTTATGCCAAATCTTACACTGTTACTGCCTTCTCACTGTTTCATGGAGGATTCTCCCTCATTTGGATCCAGACTTGGCTTTCCAAGCAAAATGGTAAAAATTGTTTTGGCTTCAGCACCTCCTTGAGTGCAGTCTAGGGTGCGGCCATCCATAGCACAGTTCTCAGAGCTGGCAAAGAACCTTCCGAGGCCTAGGCATTGCTAGGGAGTCTGAAACCAATTCCTACGCGGTTAGAACTTGCCATCAGCCAAGGGAATGAGGCCTGGAAAGGAATTCAGCTGCAAATGAGGCTGATATGTGGCTCAAAATCCAGTTTCTACAATGCTGAAGAATTACCTTGAGCTGGGTCTCCCAGATGAAATGTTCACTCTGGAAAAAGAGGTCAATGTGAGAGTTCATTTTTACTTCACCTTTCTAAACAAGGAAAGAATACGTAAACTTATTATCACATTCACATCAGCCCAGTATATCAGACACAATGTTAACTAATGGGAATAGTACAAAGGTTGACCATCGGTTGGGTCTGGTTTGACTCCCAGCTCAACTCCAAACTCTATGATTTGAGGCAAATTGAATTGAACTTCTCTGAACCTCTTTGTCTCATCTGAGGATAATAATACCTACTTTGCAGGATAGAGGAAAACATTAGAAATGATATATATTATGGTTTAGACCTAAAATGTCCCCCAAATGTCTCATGTATTTGGGAGGTGATTTGGTCATGGGGGCGTGATGAGTGACTCGCTGTTGGGATGGATGGCTAGGGGTGTGACCTGCAAGGTTGTGTTCTCGACCCTGGTTCTTCCTTTTTCTCTCTGCGTTGTGCTGCCATAAGATAAGCAGCTGTTCTTTACCCAGGCCCTCACACTATTTTGTTTCTGCCTTGAAGCCAGCCAACCATGGGCTGGAAGTATGAGCCAAAGCAAACCTCTCTTCCTTTAAGCTGTGTGTCCTGGGCATTTGATCCCGGCACTGGATAGACTATACTATTGAAGGGAAGAGACAGAAAAGTGAACAAAGATGACAGGGTACAAAGATGATTTTTTTGCTTTATTTTTGGTGTTTTTGTTTGTTTTTGTTTTTTTTTTTGGTATTTATTTTTTGTTTTTTGAGACAGGATCTCACTGTGTAGTTGAGACTGACCTGGAACTATGTAGCCCAGGTTGGTCTCAAACTCACAGCGATCCTCCTGCCTCAGCCTCCTGAGTGCTGGGATTACAGGTGTGCGCCACCCAGCTCTCAGTGTTGTTTTAATGTGCATTTCTCTAATGGCTAGTGATGTTGGATTTTTTTTTTTTGATGTTCAATGTTTCTTCATTTATTTATTAGCCATTTGTACTTACCAGAAGTGTCTATTTGTTTCACTTGCCTATTTTTGATTGGGCCCTTTATTTTGGGAGATCTAATATTTTTGAGTTCTTTATATATTCTAGATGTTAGTTCTTTGAGGAATAGCTGGCAACCGCCCCCCATTCTGTAGGTTGTCTCTTCTCTCCATTGGTTGTTCCTTTTACCCTGTGAAAACTTTTTAATTTGGTAAGATCCCATTTGTTGATTCTTGGTACTATTTCCTGTGAAACCAGGACTCCATTCAGACTATCTTTGTCTATGCTTACAGCTTCAAGAGGGTACGGGTAGGAACCAGCCCATGAGCTCAAACCTGACCAAGGGGTGAGGAGGATAAAAGAGGAGGGTAAAGAGACACAGAATCAGGTTAAAATATGGAGGGCCAGGAGGCTCATGTCTCCCTTTGACATAGAGTGAGTGTTGCACCTTGGCTTTATTCACTGAGACATGGGCACAGCTGAGTTACACAGGATTCATGTTTCCGTTCCTCCATGGTACTTGTCTGGGTAAACAACAGGATCTCTGGTGTTTCTACTTTCAAGTGCATTGCATCAGCATGCTTGCACACCCTCTTTCTTCTTAGTGCTCACCAAAGAGGCCAATTAGGCCTCAGTCTTCCTATCTGGTCTTCCACATTTACCTTTCTTGTTTTCCAAGTCAAGGTCTCACTATGTTTGAGGATGGCCTCAAACTCACAATGATTCTCTTGTCTCAGCCTCCCAAATATTGGGATTATAGGTATGTGTCTTCACACCCAGGTAGTTTTATCCACCCTATCTTCCAGCAGATTATGTGCTTCTGTTTTAACATTTAGCTTTTTGATCCATTTTTATTTAATTTAGTAGACGTTGCGATATATGGGTCTAAATTCAATCTTCTGTGTGCGGATAGCTAGTTTTCCCAAGCACCGTTTACTAAAGAGGTTATCTTTCCTCCGAGAGCATGTTTTTGGTCCCTTCGTCAAAGACAGTTAAATGTGCTTGGCATTGTCTCTGCATTCTTTATTCTGTTATATTGATCCATGTGTCTGTTTTTGTGCCAGTACCATGCTGCTTTTATCACTATCACTTTATAATATAACTTCAAATCTGGGATTCTGATGCCTCCCACTTTGCTTGTACCGCCCAGGATTGCATTTGCAATTCTGGTCTCTTCTGGTTCTGTATGAATTTTTAATCAATCAATCAATCAATTAATTAATTTGTGGTGCCAGGAATTGAACTCAGGACTTTGCACTTGCCAGGCAGGCATAGCGCCACTGAGCGAACAGCTGTTCTGTGACCATAGAATCCATAGGTAGAGTTGACTGGGGCCAACCGAGTGGCTCTGTCTAGCCTGTGTGTGTGTGTGTGTCTGTGTGTGTGTCTGTGTGTGTGTCTGTGTCCATCAGATGAACTGTTTAGCTCTTTATGCTCTTTATGTGCATTTCATAACAACGAACTGATCTCAAGCCATTACACAGATCTTCAAGTGGAGTTGCTTTCTTTTGAAAAGTATAGAATTCTAGAGAAAATAAGGTGTAATAATTAACATGAAGAAATCAGAGATGGTGAGATACGTCTACATTCGATCAGTAGCCTCTGAGCCTTCAACAATACACTTTTGCCCTATTGTCTGTTGTCCGCAGTAGGATTTCTAGTAAATAAGTAAAGAATATCTCAACAGTGACAGTGCCCCAGCAGTTTAGGGTTGTCAAGAATCTGGCTTGGTTTCACTCAGGTTAGTACTCTTCGTGTTCTTCTGGTCATAGAAATAATGAGAAAAAATGTGCAGAGATGAAGAGGCAACAAATAATAGAGAATCCTCCTCCTTGCTCAGCCAGCTTCTGTTCGTTTCCCTAGTAGCCTTCTCAGGGCCCCCTTTACTTCCTTATTTCTTAGCGTATAGATGAGGGGGTTCACCATGGGTGTGACTACAGAATAGAAGAGGGAAATGAATTTACCCTGGTCCTGGTTGCTGCTCTTCGCGGGAAGCAGATACCCGTAGATGGCCGAGCCGTAGAAGAGGAACACCACCACCAAATGGGACAGGCATGTGTTGAAGGCTTTCCACTGTCCCTCTGCAGAGCGGATCCTCAGCACTGCCCGAGCAATGAAGCAGTAGGAGATGAGGACAGTGCTTAGAGGGACGGCAGTGAAGAAGGTGCACACACCATTGAGTATGGCCTCATTGAGACTAGTGTCTCCACAGGCCAATTTCATCATGGCAGGCACCTCACATAGGAAATTGTCCACCCTCCGGTGCCCACAGAACGGGAGCTTCAGGGTGAATGTGGACTGGATTAAAGAGTTGCCCAAGCCACCTAACCAGCAAACTGCAGCCAGCAGCCAGCAAAGCCGAGGATTCATGATGGTCATGTAGTGCAAGGGCCGGCACACTGCTATGTAGCGGTCATATGCCATCACCACAAGCAAGATGCACTCAGTGGCCCCCAGCCAAAGGAAAACATAGAGCTGGGTGATGCAGCCACCGTAGCTGATGGTCTTCTCTGGTCCCCATAAGTTGAACAGCATTTGGGGGACCGAGCTCGTAGTAAAGGCGAGGTCAAGGGAGGAGAGGTTGCTGAGGAAGAAGTACATGGGTATGTGGAGCCGAGGATCAAGGCGGGACAGCAGGATGATGGTTGTGTTCCCAGAAAGCGTCAGCAAGTAAGAGAAGAGGATGAGCACAAAAAAGATCATTTCCAGCTGGGGATGGTCAGATATACCCAGCAGAATGAAGCTTTCCGAAGACCTGTTGCTGCCTCCTTCCATGACTTGAAGATTCTCTTCAGAGAAAACTGCTGGGAGAAAAGGGGACATGCTACTGGTGGATATGCATCAGGAAAGGCCTAATGATTCTCTAGGATCCATAGTTGATTACCATATCACCATTCCAACTCTTATGGTGCAAACTTTCAATGTGATTCCCCAATGACTGTCTGTTATATTAGAACGTCAGAGCCAGGCATAGTGGTGCACACCTGTAATCCCAGAGCACAGGAGGCTGAGGCAGGAGGATCGCTGTGAGTTGGAGACCAGCCTGGGCTACATAGTGAGTTCCAGGTCAGTCTCAACTACATAGTGAGACCCTGCCTCAAAAACCCAAAAAAAAAAAAAAAAAAAAAAAAAGAGAGAAAATGTCAAATATGAATGAGCTAACACACACATGAAGCGACTTATGAAGGCAGAACATGATTATAGCTCAGAAAAATGGACAGAGATGATTGTCAGATGTGGAAATTCTCAAAGTACAAATTTCCTCAGCCAAGTTTTTGGTTTTGTTTGTTTGGTACTGGGGATCAAACTCGGGTCCTTGCACTTGCAAGGCAGGCAGTGGCACCACTGAGCTAAATCCTCGGCTCCCCTCAGCAAAGTTTTGATGTGCTCAAGGAAAGGGGAAGATGACACACTGTATTTGGAAAAGAACCCCAGAATTTTCTGATAAGTCTTCTCCTTATCAAGGAAGAAGTTAGAGGAAGAATATAAATGTATAAAATTATAAAAATGGGAAACCAAATGTAGACTTGTCAAATACAGAAGCTATGAATATGTGAGTTAAGAGGAACTAAGTTTAGAACCAACAAAATTTTATATAAGTCAGCGTATGTTTAGGTGGAACAGGCTAAAGATTTAAATATGGCTTATCCAAAATGGAGTTAAATCAGTTAATATGTATCCGTGATTAGTAAGGGAAATGAGAATAATACCAAGGAGATCCCTGATCTGTTGAGGTACATGGATACTATGCCCAGTTGTAAATTATGGAATAATTCTTAACAGCTCACAAATAAGTGCTGGTCAATAATGGGCCAGGTGCTGTCTCCTTTCCTTGGACAGGATATAGGCTTTTTTGAAGATCAGAAACCAAGGTCCATCTTCCTTTTTTTTTATTATTTATTGAATGAATCTGAAAAGAAAACAGAAATAAGTATTTGTGGGGGCTTATACCTCAAGTGGCAGAGCACTTGCCTAGCTCTGGGTCTGGGTCTGATCACCAGTATCACAAAAAATAAAACAAATAAATATTTTTCATACTTAAAAAAAACAATCTTTGGGTCATCTGGACATTGGTGATTGGGAGGTGGTCCTGTCTCTCTCTGGACCACTCAGTCCCATTTCTTGTCTTAAAGACCCCAGGGACTTTTTTTCCATCTACATATAGTTTAGATATAGGAGATTCTGATCCTAGAATACTATCTAGGAGTACAAGAGGGAAATTTCTTTTAACTTTTAAAAATCAGCAGTGGAATCCATCTACGGAGTCAAGGATAATGAAAATATCAGGGGACATTTTGCTAGGCATGCCACACACCTGTAACCCAGCACCTGGGAGGCTGAGGCAGTGGGATCGTCACAAGTTTGAGGCCAGCCTGAGCTACACAGTGAGTTGAAGGCCTGCCTGAACTGCATAGTCTTAAAACAAGATCTCAAAAACAAACAAACAAACAAACCACACACACACACACACACACACAAACCAGAGGACATTCCAATGCTCATTTTACCCCTATTTATTTATTACCTCAGGAAAATGTGATCATTTATTCTTTTCATCTAGGATTTAAAAGAGCTAAGGAACTAAATCACCACACTGATAATCATCTCATCTTTTTGTTCTGAAGTTCCTCCTGCTAGCAAGGTGCTCAGCCTCTTGAATCCCTTTATGGGAAAGAGACAGTAGGTACTGCTGTTTGTCCTCCCTGAGTTTGGTATACGAGCAGCTGGTGCTCTGTGGTTGCTCAGTAATCCAGAGTTCTTTCAGTCCCTCCTCTGTGTCTATTGAGCAGTTTTCAGCCCAGGAATAAACAATCCAAAGTGGAAAAGAACTCTAATACCTGAGTAGGAAAGCTGCTCAGCAAATTCAGGAAGAAATACCAGACCAGCTGGATTCCTGGCCTGAGCCTGACAGGTCCTCCAGCCCTCAGGATGGTAATCTGGAGTTTGTATTCAGCAACTGAACCGTTCTTTAGGATCTTTTCTTCCATAACTGGTCTGGTTCTCTGTGATCTGGGAGTGTCAACCCAGAAGCACTGACATTTTAAGAAAAGTCAAGAGACGGAAATATTGAGCTCTCCCCCAAAAGTGATATGTGATTTATAATATAGTTTAAAGGGTGTCAGCACCTTGCTGGAGGATCATTTGGAGACAAGAGTTTTAAGAATCACTCACATGATGCTCAGACAGTTCTTAACATCTGCTTGCCTATGTTTGAAAGTGTGAGATGTTGAGAGAGGCAGCCAAGATTTGCTTCTTAAAGAGAATCCTGGATTTTGTAGTTCCCCACCTGCACCAGCTTTCTGCACACCTCTTCCCTAAACTTCACAGCAACTCTTAAGTGGTCATCTGTAGATCAGCCCTAGAAAGTCTGACATTTGGGCTTGGTCTTCTCCCGTTATTATAGGCAGCTAAGTTAGCCCAGAATATAGGCAGTCACACAGGGCTACCCCTGACCAGTCAGTGCAGAAGATGAGAACTCATTAGAACTGTGGCCAGAGGTGCATCTGCTGGAAGCCAGGCTTCAAGATAAGGACAGAATGACCAGCCCTACATACCTCCCAGGGGCTAATTGGCCTCACCTAGACCAATAAACTCTAGCTAGATGTGTCCCCCTAGAGAATGACCAAGACCCCATGATCCATCCCTTCCTAAAGAAAGTCTGTTCTTTCCATGCACACTTGCTACATGACCTGCTTCTCCATTGGATCAATATTACCTAAGTGGCTATACTTGTAATCTTATTGGTTGATCTTAGTTTTGACCTACATTGTACTCACCCCATGATTTTGCTCTATGAAATTTCCTTTGAGAGGTGGGCTAATTGGCAACCCACTTCTGGGTACTCTCCTGTTTCTCAGGAGCTATCTCTCTCAGTGAAGTTTTCCTACTTGTAACCTCCACTGTTTCTTAGAATTCCTTCCTCGATTTTGGGGAACATGAGCTCAGCGTACCTGACACCTAGCAGGTTGGAGTTACATTTATTTCCCCTATGTCGCTATAACAGAGGTTGCTCCTGGCTGTTAGCATTCCCTGTAGAAGAAACCGTGTTCTCAGAAGCAAAGGCTTGCATTAATAGTAGATGAGCAAAACAGATAAATGGAATCATTAAAAAATAAAACAACCAATCAACCTACTTGTCATTCCTGCTATTAGCAGAGAGATTTTTAACGTATGTTTTATTTTTATATTTATTTATTTATTTGAAATGTAGATTGTTGACGGTGATATTCCCAGTACCTTAGTTTGTGCCCAACTATCTTGAATATAAGGTCTAAATTAATACTTTCTCCATTCGGTAAGAATTGGAGATATGTTTTTCAAAATGTTATTATTGTGGCAGTAAAGCAAGCAAGAACCACAAAACTTGTCTAGAAGAGTAAAGTGTGAATTAAGATATAATCAAAACCAACCAGAAAGATTTAAGGTATTAGATAAAGTGAACAGAAATTATTCTCCCTAAATCTTAGGATTCAAGAATTAGAGATGAGGGAGTTTAAACCCAAAAAGAGGTAAATTTAAGCCAATAGGAGAACAAAATTCACTATTAATAGTAAACTTATGGAAATTACTCCTTCTAAGAGGTACTGCAGTTTAAAAACATTAGAATTTAAGAAACAGTTACAATGGGCAACTATAGTGGGTAATCAATACTATTTGGAGGAGATGGTAACTTTGAACATTCACAGCAAGGAAGACAGTCAAGCCCCAGTAAACTGTGGTTTCTGATTCTATTGTAGGAGAAGGATCCTAGCTGAAGGGCCCATGGGCTGGTCTAGGTGGCAGCTCTAAGGAGCATAGGATCTTACAAAATAGAAGAAAGACAAGTTATATAGTAGTACATCAAGTATGAGTAAACATTTAGCAAGACAAACTCAGAATGCAAAAGTCAGGACGAGCCCTGGTTTTCCAGGAATAGGTCTGTTACAGTTGAATGGGCCAATAATAGCCCAGGTTCTTGTGTGAGATAAGGAAAGAATTGCCAAGTGTACACCCAGTGGTTAAGTAGTAAGTATTTGTGTTTATTACAGATCTCAGGAAGTTGTGCTAAGGGATAGTCTGTGCCAACAAAACTATAACGCAGACCAAGAAAGGTACAAGGGTAACATAAAAGTACTACACACAGGTCAAAGGTAGCAAAAGGAACAGAAAAGGGTGCCGATAAATCAGGTTTTCGGAATTTAAAGGCCAGACATCTCTGCTTTAGGTGCCTCCCACTAAATCTCCCTTGGTGCCTGTGCTCTACCTAGGGCAACTGTGATCTCCTAGGCTTCTGTTATTTTACTTTCTACCTCTCTCAGGATAATGAAAGCAGGAATAATCTGTTGAGTACTGCTTATGATCCTCTTCTGCAAGGACTCTGTTCCTAGGGTAGAGTTGTGCATATAAAATGGTTTTTAATGGTTAGCTTTTTTTTTTTCTCCAGGTTGCGTCTTTCACAGTCTGTCCTAGACCATCCTACAAATGACTTTTGTTAAAGCAGTTTTTTGTTTATTTGTTTTGTTTTTTGGTATAAGGGATCAAACTCAGGACCTTGTACTTACAAGGCAGGTGGTAGAACCACTGAGCTAAATCCCCAGCCCTGTTAAATAACATTTTTGTTTTGTTTTGTTTTGTTTTTTGTACCGGGGATCGAACTTGGACCTGTGTGCTTGTGAGGCAGATGCCATTAAAGAACTCTTAACAATGTTGAATTAAAACTTTCCATTGCTGTTTAAATATGTGTCTTCTCTACAGAGGTAGGGTCATGAACCTCTATAATATAAGATTGGGGATCTAACAACATGGGCCCTCTGGCCTTTCTCCAAAGGCAAAATTCAAAGCAGTGTCTTTAAAAAGCCATTATCTCTCCACCTCCCCATTTGCTATTTTTTGTATATTTCCCCCCTCTGATAGTCTAGCTTCCTGGATAATAAATGCCCAGGGACTGTTGATGGAACTATACCTTGACTTCAGGAGCCCCTATCCATTCTCAGCCTGGTGTTCAATGGATGCAGAGGGCAAGCGTTGGACTGAGCAGGTGGTGCTGCACTGCTGAGCTGCGCTGCTGGCTTTAAACCTGGCACACTGATCTTGGCCCTCTAGCAACCTGGGTCTGCTGCCTCCTGCTGCAGGGCCCAGGGGAGAAGGACCTCATGCCACCTCCTGTTAGCCAATTATCACCAAGGGCTTGCCTGGCCACCGCACAGGAAAAAGCTGTCCCTGCAGAATGACTTGGTCTTTTTCCTGAACTTCCTCCTAAACACTGAGTATTAACTGAACTAGGAATAAGAATAACTGTGCCTTCTAAGTAATTACTGACAATATAATTTTATTATTTGTAAGTGCTTTCATGTTATCTTAGGGGTTTTTTTGTTTTCTTTTCGTTTGTTTGGTTTTTTTTGTGGTATTGGGGAATGAGTCCGGGACTTTTGCACTGAACTACTTCTCCAGTAGTGGGGGGGGGTCCCTCACTAAGTTGCACACGCTGGGCCTGAATTTGTGATCCTCCTGCTTTTGCACTCCAAAGTGCTCAGATTATAGGCATGAACCACTTCCCTAGGCTCTACCTTCATTCTTAGTATTTCATATGGTAGAAGGAGCGGATGGTTTACCCAAGGCAGAGAAGAACAGGCATAAAGTGATTATGTGACTTGTCCAGTACTAAAAAGGAACGGCCCCAGTGAAGGTACTTCCCACTTTGCATGAATGGCCAGGCCTATGCAGAGGGAAGGACTGTTTTAGAATCTTAATCTGTGAGATGTCTCTGAGTTTTTGTTCCTTTGGGGACAAGGTCAGAGAAAGGGAGTACCTTATCTCTGGTCTTAACCTATGCCATAAGCCAGAGGCAGAAACCTTAGACACTCATATTTGTCCTGTGCAAAAAGCAA